AGCAATCCCAAGTGCATCACCAGCTAAAGAGCTCGAACACGCATCACTGATGATCAGCTAGAAAATTTGCGGCAGTATTTGACATCAATAATTCACCCAGTGAACAACAAATCAAGGAAATGTCTGTAAAGGCGCAACTTCCGGAAAAAGTTATAAAACACTGGTTCCGCAATACACTGTTTAAGGTCATAATTTGTTTTAAAATGATAAGGGAATGCAAAATGCTCGCTTTCTCAATTATCAGTAAACAAATGGTCCCTTATCCTAATATCTTAGGTCTTTGTCAAAGATTTTGTGCACACAATTTTTGAGAAAATGAGGGGTTGTTTTTCGACTTTATTCAGTTCTAATTACGACTACAACCGTGGTAATTTTTTTGGGGCGTATTTTTTTATTTTTCAGGAACGACAACGTGACAAAGATTCTCCCTATAATTTCAACATCCCGCCGCAAATGAGCATTGATTTGGACGCTTACGAAAAAACTGGTGAAACAAAAATAACCACTCTTAAAATTGAGGTCCTTTTTGGTCTTTGAAAGGAAAAAGTAGCATATGATAATGAGGCAAAAAACTTTATGCATAATTGTTGAAGATACTAAGGAATTAAGGGTTAGTCCTTAAGGTTGATTGCTGTGAAATCCATTACTTTTCAGACAGAAGAAGAATCGAAACCGCAACTGTTGCAAACACCCGAAACTCCGATAAATATAAACGGTGTCGGAAATTCAGTGTCTGCTGCAAATGTCCAAACTACCCAGATTCATTCGACTCCGCCAACATGCAATAATCCTTTCGCCACTTTCTTGCATGATGACAAAAATCTTTCGTCCATATTATCAAGTACTTCTCGAACTTTGCCTTTCAATTTTTACTTCTGTGATTATCTGTTTCTCATGAAACCTTACTTTTTCTGCAAGTTAAACCTTCAGGTTAGATAGAAACAGAAGAATCTGTCCTAAGATTAGATTCCCTGTCCATAAAAAACAGTTAATATTTAGTGGCCAGCGGTAGTCAAAGGATTGCTACCTATTATTATTGAATTGGAATTAGCGAAACTTTTCAAGAATGTCTTACCATTTTTTTTTAAAGATTTGCCTTCAAATTCGGTGACTGGACGTCGTGCTAATCGTACTCGTTTTACCGATTACCAGCTGCGGACATTACAGCAATTTTTCGATAAGCAAGCTTATCCTAAAGATGATGATTTGGAAGTTTTGTCGAAAAAGCTCCAACTTAGTCCACGAGTTATCGTTGTTTGGTTCCAGAATGCTCGACAGAAGGTACATAACAAATAGTGGTTGCTTTTTCTATCATCATCACTTTCTAAAAGATAAAAATGGTGGGCTAGTAGCTGAAAGATCTCAAGTTCGTTCATTTTATATTTTACACCTGAACCGGTTGGTTTCTTTCCACTGTTAAATCTTGGCACGAGAATTTCTTTTCAGGCCCGAAAAATATATGAAAATCAACCAATGTCAAGCAACGACGATCGATTTATGAAAACACCGGGGAGTAATTTTCAGTGCAAACGATGCCAGTTAGTGTTTCAACGGTATTATGAACTGATACAACATCAGCAGAAGTTATGCTACAAGGATGATTGCGTGGCTCAACAAAAAGATAATAAAGTATTATATTTATGGTATTTATCTTTGCTGTTGTTTTTAATTTCGATAGCTGTACTGTCTGATCTATGAATGATTATTCCTTACCTTTTTTGAGGGAAATTACTTGGGAGTGTTTGTATTTATTATTATTACAGGCCGTCGAAGAGAATTTGAGTGAAGACGAAAAGACCAGTTTGGAGAATCTACGTGATGCGTCACGACTGAGTTCTACATCAGTTGCAGCAACTAGCCAGACAGCTACTTTGGGTGGAGCATTAGCTCAGCTTATTGGTACTGCATCGTCGGGAACTGCTATCGATATCAGTCAAACAGAATTTTTGAAACTGCAGGCGCAGGCATCAATCAAACCACAGGATCCATCCATGAAGCTAGTAAGATTTCCTCCATTCTTATTCATTCTGGGCTGATTTCCTCCAGTTCTTAGTTTTTAAATTATCTCTACTTATTAGATTTTCCTGAAGCCTGTTTTCCTATCATGACTCAGAGCAATTTGGGAATAAATCGGTAATCTTTTTTAATTTGTTCTTGTCTTTCATTTGTCTGACTGGCTTATAGATGGTATCTTGAATCTATTTCAAGAAAGTGATAATCTAAAGTGCATGAAATAATCTTGATGGGTGTTCGAGCAGTTCTTTTATTTAGGAGTGAGTGGTATCTATAATAGTTTTTACCACGATAACATAGTGCATTGTGTGAATTACGGAAGGAAAATAGCTTAAAAAATGTGGGCATATAGTAGTAGGCGCGTCCTTTTTGATGTTCAAATGAACTAAATCTTCTCATCGTTCAGAAGGTAAGGGATAAGAAAAAAGCGGTATTCTATAAGCGCTGTCCTTTCTGTTGCCTATTATTCCACTCGCGAGATTCACTGATTGTCCATATTCCGAATCGTCATCCGGAGCAAGCTAACAGTACATCAGTTAATGTCGATTTATTACCGGACGCTGAAGATGTGAGGAAATGCATATTCTTTGCTACTACTTAGTTTTTCTAATATCGCAGTATATAAACATTGGTAGGAAATTGAAACTTGGAAATTTGGGTTGTCTCAGAGAGTGCTTCCAGATGGATTAAGGCAGAGCATATCGAATGAGACCATGTCGAAATGAGATCTATGGGGCGTCCATAACTTCATGAAATTTACTACAATTTCCTTACAGGTACCAACAATCACAGCGTTGGCGGGTGATGACTCACTAGGAGATCTGTCGAAAACGAATGGTTCTTCAAAAAAGTCAGAACTATCGCCGCTTGATCTCAGTTGTACCGCTAATAGCGAAGGGTATGGTCTTCGCGAAAATGTTGATTTTCTCATCAAATTTCATAAAATGTTGATTTAAATAACATTAGTCCTTTATAGTTTTTTTTAAGACTTCCTCAGCAATCACATGGTTTCGCTTGCTATAAAAACCAGCGTGACATTTGTCAAATTAGCTTCCTTTATCGTTCAGTTTCCTAAATCTAATTTTGGAAAAAATACAGGAAAAAAGAAAACTGTACCTTTTTTGGATTTGATATAGCTACATAAAAAGAACTAAAAGTTCTAGGCGCGAAGATTCGGTATCGATATCTCCTTCATTCTTGCACTCGGACAACGATGATAATAACAGTGATAACATGGATATTAGTGAACGCTACAATAGCGCATCCCCAAATGCGATTGGAATTGGCTGTTTTGGGGCTCAGAGAAGTCCTGCTAGTTCCAAACGGTATCGAACTCATTTGACACCATTACAAGTTCATGTAAGTGTTATGATGACAGTTTGTTATTTAAGAACCTCCAGAGTTTAGACCTTTGAATTAAATACGCTGCTGACTGTTCTAGACAAGAATAAAATTGTAGGTGATGAAAAGCATATTCATGAGTTACAAAACTCCATCGATGAATGAATGTGACTTGCTAGGAGTCGAAATTGGTCTTCATAAACGAGTTGTACAGGTGTGGTTTCAAAATGCTCGAGCGAAAGAGCGGAAATTGCGATCACACAGTGGTTTGTTATCTTGGAATCAGATTATTTACTTAGCTGTGAAAACCCGTTAAACCTGTCATCAGAGAATAGTTTTTAGGAGTTTGCATACGAAAAAAGACCTCATGAGGGTTAGCAGAAGGTTAGATGACTGATAAATGCTATATCGAGAAGTGAAGCTGTGCTATCTCGATGAGGCAGAAGAATTTGCAATTAACTGATGAACTAGCCCAAAATATTGCATCCCTGAACAAAGAACTATTGTAAACTTCTTTTTTTGCTTTTATATTACAAGAGCAGGGAAATTGTCGCTTTCTCACTTTGAAATTGTACCGTATTTTTTATTTGAAAAATTTCTTAGGTGATGAAGAATTACTTCGTTGTACATCGACGCGCTGTGCAATGTGTGGTGTTAGTTACGATCATCATGTTACCTTGCATGATCATATATTCACCACTGGTCACATTAATCATGTCAAAAAACTTTTCCAAGCAGATAATATTCAAACAGAAGGACCAATAGATTTGAACGCTACACTAGAAACGATTGATAAAGAAGATATCCAACGAACGAGGTTTTATACTAATTTCTCTAATTCCGTAATCTCTTTCACCCTGAAATGAAATTAGCTGTTGTTCCTTTTTCGCATGATTGTTCTATGCTTGATATTGTTTGGTTATCGCGATTTTTAGAATGAAAACTATACGAGATCGGCGAACAATGAAGCCATCCACTACTGTATCGACTTCAAACCCTGGGAGCAATACGATGCCACATTTTCCTTATAATTTCTTATATAATATTCGATCGGGTTAGTATGAATATTGGTGTTATAGTTCTTTTTAAAACTAAACTTTTTTTTGACAAGCTGTCAACTAATAGTGTTATGAAAATTCCTAGAAGCAAAAGTGTGCATACACCAAAAATGCATTCTGATTAGACAAACCTGTTGTTTATTGTGCTTACTTGACCATGTAATATATGCCAATACAATGACCTCTTGAAGGCTTGGCACCAATAATGTATGATCCAAACCTAATGGGTACACCGATACCGATGCTTCAAATTCCTGAAAGTGTCATGGCGCAGATTACGACAGATATGAGTTCCGGCCGTGAATCATCGAAATTCACACAAGATGGCAAAACTTTTCAACAACTGGTTGCTATACTTCCATTACGTGATTTCCAATGTGCTGGCAGCACTGATAGTGAGGTTATTTTATTTTTTGCTTGCCTCTCTATGGTATTCCTTTACATCTCGAACTTCCTTATAGCTTCTAAAAATACTAATTGTACTTGATTTAAAATGATCATATTCAGGTTGGCTGGGCATGTCCTCAATGTACCAATGTATTTCAACAGGAACAGCTGTTGAAAAATCATCAACGACTAATATGCCAGGGTTGTGATTCAGTATTCAAATTGGTACAAACCCATTACCAATGTCGGGCTTGTAATGCAAAATTCGGTGCACAGGTTGGTAATTCCTTCTGTATTTCAGTCTGTAACTCTGCTGAAAAGATATCTGAAACTCCGAAAAACCAATAATTATGACAAGAGTGTCCATTACTTTCTGCTACGTATTATAAAATTTACTCGCCATTGTTTCCATGCAACTATATGACGATTATTTCAAATTTCAGACCGAATTTCGAGTTCACTGTGATACGTCAGAACATCAAGCTGCACGTGAAGTATTTCTCGGCAGAACAGTTTAATCTAAATTCATGATACTCGTCATCTACTATAAACTCAGAAATTTCAATGAACCGGTAAACATTCGTTCGCCAAATGCTCGTCTGTTTATTCATCCAAAAGTATTCTCAGACAAAATTCTTTCATTCCAATTACGGTTTCACATTTCGGTTTTTTGAATTCTGTGGTTTTTTAAAATTGTTGCTTCTCAAATTTAAATTTTTCGAATATTCGCTTACATTTTCTAGAGCATTTCTTATTGTTGTATACAGCTAGTTCAACATTTTTTTATATGACAATGATTATTGTTGCCGTTATTTTCCAATATAATTGATAGCATTCTTCGGTTAGCAATAAATATTTTCATTGAAATGACTCAATGATTACTTTTTTCTTCTGTATTAATTTTAAAATTTTTGTGCTCCATGTACAGTATGTTTCATCTTTTTAACTGAATGTAAATTTGCAGCTGTTGAAATTTTAAAGGATAGATTTCTGCAGAATCTAATTTTTTGAAAATTCGGTGTAGTTCACTATATCTAAATCAATTTTTTCTGGGATTTAGATGGTCATTTCATTTTGTTTTAGCGCAAGATTCAATCGAAAATATCGGAGTATTTTAGTCCGAATTTTCTCCGAGTGAACTTCGTTTCACAATAGATCTGCAATATTTGGTCGAAAATTCAAATTCAACTTAGAAAAATTAGTGTACGGTATGACTGGTAACAAAGTATTGATTTGTTGGTATATAAATATTAAATTAATACTGAAATGGTCCTAATTTGTATTGATGGTTTTTGAGTCGCATGATTTCGATGCAAATTTCGATTGATCGGTTTATTGATTGGTTCTGTGAGCTTTAACTTAATTTTAACCTTTTAATTTAATTTTAAGCTTGTTTCATCAGCATTAGTTGCTGTCCTAAAATCCAACCTAATAAGCTTTACTCCTTTTTTAAAAAAGTTTTCACTTGTAGAAAATTTACGTTTGGAATTTTTAAAATCATCGTCGTTCTGTGATTTGGATCTCGCGTTCCGTCAGCGTCATCATTGTCATCATCTACATACTCATCTCGTGTTTTTCACTAGTTTCATGCTTCTCTGGTGATTTTCCTTTTTTGTTATATTTCATCTTTTACCCATTATTTATTAATAATGCTCGCTCACCTTACTTATTCTCTGTGCAAATTTTGGTTGCCAAGTTATTTATTCTTGGAAGTCTTTTTCAGCTCGAATATAATCTTGGCTATTTAAAGAAGTTCTGTCTAGCTCGAGTGTTACACGTATCTGGACTTTTTAAATTGTTATTTAACCAAATTCAAGAAAAGGAGAGCGTCAATGAGTATTTGTTGAAGTCACATATATCGGATAGGCTTAGGATCCTAAATGCACTGTTCTTTTGCTTCAAAGAATGTAGTCTGCAAGCGATGCTATTGTTTTTTAATGTGTTAGTGGCTTACCTGCGATTTCGTAAAAGTAAAACAATATCATTTATCCTTAGTTTTTTAGTTTCCCGGTGGGGAAGTTAAACATTTGGGCATATTTTGGCTTAAAATCACTTATGATTCCACCGATCCAACTGTTCTAAGCTGATAGACCTGAGGGTATTGTGATCCTTCCACCTTACTAATGTCCTTCCACAACTTGAGCTTGTTATATTAGGTATGAATTTGGAAACAAAAAACTATTTTATGTAGTTTAGTTTGCGGAACCTAGTTAAATTTCCTCAGGTTCACTTTATTCTCTTTGCATCCGTTCTGTGTGGGTAGGCTGCTATTTGTTACCATTATTACTTTCTTTTGTAGCAATAAATTAGTCGGAGCGTTGTTGCCTTATGAAACAGTGTAGTGCATTCGAAATTTGATGTTCATAAATTTCATGAAAATTTATTTATTTTATATGACTACATCTTCCACATTGTCCATACGATCTGTTCTTGCTTCCGGTTCTTCTCTTTTTAGCTTTTGTTGTATCCTTGAAATGTTTTTGTCTTCCAATTGGAAAAGAGTTTCGCAACTCACTACATGTTTTTTGTATAATTTTCCGTAGTTTGACGTATTCATAGTCTCGGTATCTCAGTACTTTGAAAATTTTGTCGGGAGGTATCTCCATTCTGAGGGAAACCTTTTCAAATTTCTATATTTCGTTAACTTCTAGTAATGATAGTTTTGAAAGTCATAAAATCAGCCAAGCCTTTGCTGTTACCGAATTTCCGCCTCATTATCAAAGCGAAACTTCTTCCTAACACCCTTTCCATTTAAATCTCCGAAAAAAAATCTTTCCGATATATCTTTGCCATTTGGTTGTTTTTTATTTGCTAAATGTTATGCTGTTAAGTAAAATGTTTTTTGAAACCATAAATGTGATACGATATATTACGGCACGCAGTGATATATTACGATATATTGCTTGGTATATTACTATATATTACGTGGTATATTATTGATATATTACGGGTAAAGAGTTGGAAAGAAAGGAAAAGATTTTAACGGGAGCGATCGTTAAGATTAGCTCATTAGTATTATGAAAGCTACAATCTTCTACACGGCCACAACGACACTGTAACATGGAAGATAAGTGATTTTGCGGGTCATTTTTCTTTCCAGTCACTAATTTTAGTAACAAAATCCGTCTTGTGAAATTCCGAGATCGTTTCTTTTCTTTGTGACCTGAAGATTCTTAAAGTAAATTTTGGACTGGCAGTTCTTGGAATGTACAAAAACTGGAGCGGTAGTTCTTTCCCATACAAATACGATGAGTCATTTAAAGAATATTGGTGTTTTGGTCAAACTAAACGTAGCGTTCCGGTCTCCTCTTATCGGTTTATCGGTTTCGTCGACAGTTTCGTTTTCTCGAAGCACAGAATCAGAAGAATCTTTTCCCGGAAGAATTCAAACATCAGCGTGGTAGTAATCATAAATTTTTCCTACATTTTTTCTGATTTTGTTACCTAATAGCTTAAAAATTGGTACGTTGAGTTTTAATACACTTTATCGGTGGGATCATCGAGATTTTTTATCCTTTCGCGAAGTCAATGCCATCATGCAGTTACCAGAGGTTTCAACTGAACCATTAATGCGCAAATGGAATGAAGTCTAGGAAATGAAGAATCACTATTCAGCAAAGCGGAGATGTCCCATTTATAACTGGTTTAGCATAAAGTGCAGAAAGAATTGCAAGTAGCATTTCGTCACCATCCTATCTCAGTTTATAAACAAATAATACACAAGTATAAGTAACACCAAAGAAATAAATTACTAAAAAATGTATAAAAGAACTGGCAAAATTGTCTTATCGAACAAAAAGGAATGCTATAAGGAATGCATCTTTTCCTGTCATTGTTTCTTCATTATGTAAGTATTTCTTTCTTGTCTCTCTATCAAGAGAGTTTCGGAAAATGCCTACTTTAACATTACAATATTTAAAGCCTTCTTGAAAACCACCACCGATCTTCCCTCATAAACTTTTCGAAGAGGGAGACATTTGGCTTCAATACCTTTATGGTGATTTTTTTTCTCCACAATATCCTTATGCTTTCCATTCTCATTTCTGACGAGATGCTTTCAAGTGCTTAAAAATTTTCAAGTGTTTTCCAAAAAATTTCATCGCTTTTACAGATCCTGTATATCGGACTTTGTCACTGCAAGCATATCCTATTGGCATGGCGGTAGCGCAACTATTTGAACCGGAAGATTAATGCGTCGCAAGATAGCGACTTAAATTGTGAATATATTTGGCAAGCGAACGGATGGATTAGCGGAAAATGTACCGATACCCACAGCGGTTGCTGCTCTGTATGTCAAAAGAATGACTGATGAATTTAGAGAAATGAGACATTTAATTAATTTCTTATGATTTCATCGCATCATATCGATGTAAGCATATTTTTAGGAGTTTGAAAGGAGCTCAGTGTTTTCAGAACATGTTAATGACAGTGATACTGAGATAGGTGAAAAGTGAGACGATATTAAAATAAGAACTGGTTTTCCCATCATTGACAACCTAAACAAATTATTCATTAAATCAAAACTTTAGGAGCGAAGTGTAAGTGGGTCATTGTCGTCGTAGCTACACTTCGTGAACGAAGATATGCGAAGCTATACTCATGCTTGCTGCAAGCGCGCTGATAGCTAAAAAGGCCAATGCGGGATAGACAAGTTCAGCTGCGAAAAACAGCGAAAAGTTTTTTTAGGCGGTATTAACGAGATACGGTTTTGCATACGTTGTCTTTTGCCTTCGAGGCTGATTCTGCCTGCGTTCTCAAAGGAGGCAACAGCGTTATGGATGATGTGTCTCCATGTTTCTCAATTTGACGCCAGAATGGACCATTAATGGTAGTCTAAATGGCCAAGGCTGAGATGTTGTTTCAGGGCATCCTTGTATTTCCTCTTTGAGGCTCCTTTGCGGAAACCCGTTGGAAGTTCACTATAATTTTAGAAAACGGTGATCCTCTATTCTATCGACATGCCCAGCCTAGCGTAACCGTGTCCTCAGTAGTACGGCCTTAATACTGGCAACCCTTGCTTACATCTCCACGTTTCTCAGTTCGAGGCTTTTAAGAACAATAACACCAGTCACGTAGTCAGAGTTGTGAATATTTAGGATTGTACGGAGGCAGCACTGGTGGAAGTGTAGGAGGAGTCGCAAGTGGTGACGGTAGATGACCCATAGTTCAGATCCATATAAAAGATAGTACAGTGGCTTTATAGACACTAATTTTTATATTTTCTTCAGGCGTTCATTACACCAGATTCTTTTATGGAATTTTCCGAAAGCTCTGTATACCTTTGCTAGCCTGTTGTCGATCTCTTTATCGATCTTCGCGTTGGAAGGAATGATGATGCCCGGAGAGTAGAACTGATGCTTATGTTCTGATTGTTCTGATTCACCTATGGTGATGTGAGAACGAAGGTAGTCATCTTATGGTGTAGAATGGTAGAGAACTTCTTCCTTCTTCAAGCTGATTTCTAGCCCAGAAAGCTTTCAGCTTCTGCAGAATAAGATGTTGAGCGCTGTAGAGTTGCTTCTGTATGAGCGACGAGAGCGGCATCGTCGGCAAAAAGTAGTTTTCGGACGTGATAATTTAGAGTTTGGGTATGAGCCTCAATGATTTTCAAGTAATAGCGTAATCATTTTCAGGAAATTGGAAGGACATCCTTGTGCTCACGGTGTCAAATTAGTGAGATCTATGAAGATCATACAGAGACTTTCGTTCTGTTTCCTGCATTTCTCTTG